GGGGGGGGATCTGGAGTGAATGACCTGCGGTGACACCAACGAAGCGCTGCAGCTTTTTAACTTTTCTTAAACAACCAAAAAAAAAAAAAATGTAATTAAAGAGTTTTTATTTAATTGCAGAGTTTTCTGAGACAATTTGAACCATTGTTTCTTTCAAATCATAACATCTTTGCAGAGGAAACCCCATAATTGGGAAATTAGACATGAGAAAATGAGTCATTTAGGGTTAGTATCTTCCTGTGGAAATTTCTGACGCTCCTACCTGTGTTGGCTGCAATGCCCTCGCGCAGAAAGTGGCCACTGGACAGGTACTGCAGGCCAAAGCTTTCTGCTATTCTCTTACAGATCGTGCCTTTTCCAGATCCCGGCGGACCCAAAACAGCGGCACGGAAAAACTTGGCCATCTCCTCCTACAATGTAAGGCGTGTCAGATTTGCTCCAGATTTGGGTTTGCACCAGATATGTCGCAAATTTCTATTCAGCTGCACATGAACAACCAAAGCAACGCTTTGAAACTCTATTTCAGCGCGCCAGGAGGACCGTGTGGATCTTTACGCGCTGCCTTATATCTGCGTGCAGCGGAACTGTTCCCCTCAGGCACAGGAATGAAGTCAGAACGACTGTTTTTTTCCTCCTTCTCTCGCTCCTGTGGACGTGGGTAGCTCGCCTGCGTCTTTAAGAACAGAGATTGTCCTCCGCGAATGAATGAGGGAGTCTCCACAACGCCCTATTTTGCTGCGCGCATCATCCAGGAAAAATGCGGAAGGATTTACTGGCGGGGGAACGTGGTTATTGTAGTTTTTTAACAATGTTTACAATGTGGACTGTTTACATCATTTTTTAATCCACCAATGACCAATGTGACACAAGTTAAGTAAAGCGAAAAAGCTCTAAATAAGGAGAAATAGAGAGGAGCACAAATATAAAGTTTTTAGGAGAACTCTGGTTGTGACACTTCTGGTGTTGTTCTGCAACACTTCCGGTAGGCTTAGAGGAGTACACGTAATCGTAGTTTACCAAATGTATATAAAAGATTTATATTTATTTATATAAATGAATATATAATGCACACACACACACACACACACACACATATATATATATATATATATTATTCATAATGATCCCTTACACCCCCACTATGGACTGTTCTCCCTGCTGCCCTCTGGGAAGAGGCTTTAAAGTTTAAAGCGTCAGATGCAGGTCCAGATTCCATGACAGTTTCTTCCCCACTGCCATTAGACTGCTAAATGTTGTGTAAAATTGGTTATTTTATTTATAAAAACAAAAAATATATATGTTAGAACTGTAAATATACAGTCATATGTTTATATTATAATTTTTTTATGGATTTATTACTGTTTTTCAAGGCTGCACTTCAAAAAATGAAATTGTCTAGAGCTGTTTTAAACATTTGTTTTTGTATACACTCGTGTATACAAAACGGCAAAAAAAAAGATATATATATATATATATATATATATATATATATATATATATATATATATACTATATGTATTAAGAAGACTGCACATAAAACAGCCCCCTTATACAGATACAAAAATGTTGTTACAATAGACAAACATTATTTGTTCTTCCTTTTGTCCCTCTCTTCTTATCCTTTTTCTTGCTGTTTTCCTCTTCATGTCTTCTTTTTCCCTTTTTCTTTTCATATTGACAATGTTATCAGCTGACTTTTCATGCTATCTTAAAAGGAATCAAAGATTTGCCAATCACTACGCTCATTCTAACTTAGCTGATTACTCCTTCCTGTTGTTCCAAAAAGGTGACAGCAAAAGTAAATAACACAATCCTTTCAGTGTAGACAAGCCATGATCTGCTTATCTGTTCTCCATTTTTCATTAAAATGAAATAATAGCTGCATGAATCATGAGAGCAGACAAGATAGAGGAGAGCAGGATGCAAGGTTGCCAATCTACTTGCTCAGGAGAGCAGAGTTTGTTGCTTTAATATGTTGTCACCAAAGTCTCCAGTAGCAGAAAAAAGTCACTAGATTTGGAGCTAAGCGCTTTTTTGTAATTAAGCGCTAGATGGGTTTGGAAAGTCATATATAGCGACAAAAGTGCTAAGTTGGCAACACTGCTCTTCGCATTGTTTGTTTTCAAATCATTTGCTGCTGTTTGTTTGGACCTTTCTGAACATGTGCAACAAATTAACTGATCCATTCCAGAAAAGCAGTTTTATGGGCCCCCCAGGAACTTAGGGCCCTTGGCAACTGCCTAGTTTTGCCTAATGGTAAATATAAATATTTATATAAATACTACTTTGCCCTGTTAAATGCTATTTAATATGTTATACTTTAAAAAAAAATCTAATTTAATGTTTCTGAGTACTGTCATTAATATCAGTGTCATTAATGCTCTATTAATATAAGTTCAGTTGTTTTTAAGTTTTTACTGTTGACACTCACATATTACTTAATACATCTTTTTATTTTGTCCTATGTTCTTTCTTATTAATTTATGTAAAATTTAGATTTTGTCCTCAGATTTGCTGTGAAATTCTAAGGAATGTTTTGTGTTTAATGCTGTAATATACAGTAATATGCTATTCCCTAAAAGGGCTATATATTTTCAAGTAAAGAACATAAAGGATGTTTGTTCTGAAAAATAAAATGCAGCTAAGCATTTAAAACAGATGCTGTAATCTCCTATACTGTTTACATACTGATCACTGCTGCACTGTATAATGGAAATGTTCATTTCACTGCTGTAAACTTTAAGCAATGTAAAAAATTTTTATAAACTTGGTGTATACAAAATGACAATAAAGTTTGTCTAAGTTTAAGTAGTTGACCAAAAACTGTAAACATCTTGTTCTAATGTTGCTTTATCAATTAGAATTGATACCAGCAAACAGAGCATGCCTTAGAAAAAGAGTTGAGCTTCTGGTTGCATTAAATCTTCAGACGGGCTCATTGAAAATTTAGCACAGCTTTGATATTTGTCTACTATACATTTAATTGGATGATTTTGAAAAACTGCGATAGATTGGCGACCTGTCCAGGATGTACCCCGCCGTTTGCCCATAGACTTTATAGGCAGCAGCCCCATCATGGCCCTGATACGTATAATACGTAAAAAGATGAATGGATGCACTTTGCAATAGCCACTTTAAACAGTTGATATAGTTTAATTTAAACAAAATCAGATAAAGATTTAGGGGGTGGCGATTCTAAACTAAATTTGCCAAGAGGATCATGGTGGGGGCAGTGCTTTTAATGTGGGCACAGAATAAACCTAAACAGGGGGCAACAGTTCTTTTAATGAGCTCTTAAAGGGGTGCTATCACACAACATCCCTTTAAAAAAATTAAAAAAAAATACAAAAAAAAACATGTTAAAAGAAAACATTATATCGCAACCATTCAACCCTGTATTTTTACCTAATAAATTTGGAGGATGAAAATAATTTTTGCACCCAGCAGAATCAATATCATTTTGCACCGCCGTCGCCATCTGCTGGTAGTATTTACTTGCGCATTCATCATCTTGCTAGTCTCTAAGGATTTATCGCATGCTTTGATGAAATCCACTGCTCATATTACACTCTGGGCGCTACTGACGTTTTTTTTGTCTCTTGGAATCCAATTTTTTGTTTTGCTCCTTTCTTGGCTCCATTAATTTAGGTCTTGTAAAATCAAGCTAATGTGCAACATCCTAATTTGAAAATTACAGTATTGGCAAAACTAAGAAAGCCATAAGATAAAATCTTTGAACTAGTTACAGTTTCTATGCCAAAGCACATAATCATAATAATTTAATTTAGTGTTATGTCTGTAGTAGAAATGCAAATAAAAGGGGCCAGAACCGGTTCTACATGGGCACTGGCCCCCATTGTCCCATCTCTAGAACAGCCAATGAAGCTGATTATTTATCCCTGCCATTGTGTTTGTCTGTGTAGAAGATTTTTTTTTTTTTTTTTGTATTCTGTTATTTCAGACAAACTTCAAAAAGTAACATTCTGCACCTTCTTTGAGATAATTCGCAAATCAAACAAAGACTGATAAAACCTAGTGTTGGTACTTCTATTAAATCAAATATTTCAGTTAGTTTGGTTTTATTTTGATTTTAATTTGTTACATAAATTTGCATTTTGAGGCTGCAAATACATCTAAATAAGGTGGAATATCCATCAATGAGTTTTAAAATTAAAAGTTTTAAATTCATAATACACTGAAAAAAGAATGCAACCGATTTTTGCATTTACTTAAAGTCATATTTATATATTAACTTTATCACAATTGTTTTATGTCCTACCTTGCTAACATGAAACAATTTTGTTAAAGTAACTAAATATAATTAACTAAATGCAAAAAAACGGTTGCATTCTTTTTTTTCAGTGCCAATAGAGGAACTTTAACAGAGGCTTATTTAGAAATGACTCTGAAAGGGTTCACAGATAACTGATGTAGCCAGAGCATGAACAGGATTACAAAGCAAAGACCTTTCAAGCATTTGGCCTCAGCTGTGACATTTAAACACTGACCTGTGAATATTTCCCAAATTCTTAACAGCTTTCTTTACATTTCCCTCAAGACTGCAGATTTTCCTATAACCAGAGCACATTTCCTACTACTTGTTTCCTTCCACTCAACTTTACATTCACAGCTCTCTGTTCTGGAAGCTGACAACATGCAGGGCAAAAGCACTTCTCCTGATTATTGGGGGTGCCTTAACATTTACATGATATTTAAATGTTTTTTTGTTTTTTATTATTTTCTGGGAAACTCCTTTAATCATGAAAAAAACAAGTAAATATTTGACTTATTTTATAACATGATTATTGAGATGCGCGTGTATTTGGGGATGTCATTTTTCGCGCTTTGTGAACTTTGTTGGATTTCACCACTTGTTGAGATTTTATTAAATAAAATCAGCAGATTTATTTTGTATTTTGGGATGTTTCTTTTCAAGCAGGAGGCGCAAATAAAAGGGGGGGGAAAAATATGAGTTGCATCTCATTTGCAGACGGAAGGAATCCAGAGAGTACTTGTTGCGAGCCATACGGCGGCGGCAGCGTCCCGTAGCTGTCAAATATTGCGCACAGCCTCCAGTCGTCAGTCAGTGGAGTAACCCAGACTAATCCATCAGGCAAACACCTCGGAAGACTGACGTTTTTTTATTTCCACTAAAGAGTCTCCCCGTTAGGATCGGAAGCTACTCTTTAAATCTTAATCTTTTTTTTAATCTCCCTTTTCTTTTGTCACATGGCTTTGAAGAATTCAATAACAACAAAAAATGGCGACAATCACGTTGCTCTGTGTGGTCTTGCTGCGTCATTAAAAATATTCATGTAAACACGGGGAAATAAACGAGGTAAGTTCGCTCAGTCTTTGCTACAGAGTTAAAGGAATAAGTGTGTATTTAGGAATAAATTGTTATTTAAATCCAAACCGCATGCTTTTTGTTTTTGCACAGAAAAAAAGGGGTGTGTGCGCAACGCTGGGCGTTAACGCGTTTCTGCACAGCATTCACTCAAAGCGCCGCATTTAACCTACAATAAATAATCTTATATAAATACATTTACTTAGAACAGCTTAAGAAAGTGTTTGTATTATATAAACAGTTCAGCCTATATTAAGACATGTTTGTTTTCTTTTTTTTCTCTTTATAGAGAGCAGCAACAAGCGTTGGCAGTTCTCCTGCTTTGCTTATTATTAGTACACGTATCATAATATGGTTGCTA